TGGTTGTATGAGATATTTAGTGGGTCTTAAAAAAGGTTCTAACTGAAGGGGCATTCTGTAAGTTTATTTGTTATAATGAAAGGGAAGAACAAGTGGAATGGGCTTCGGGTGCCAGAATTCCTTGTGGCGTTGATATTGCCAGGGCTGATTTTGGCCTGGGTAAGGGCCCTGTCAATGCTGTGTGACGGACATCCCTATCAATGAAAACATTTTAGTGCTAGGTTTTAGACATCAGTCTAACGATGTGAAAATATTCAGATATTTTACATAAACCAGTAGAAATGAATAGACGCCTTACAGATCTCAACATATCAAGTTTTAACAATCAAGATATATGTTATCAAGAAATACAAGGTAAATAAAACATCCAACTCTTCCAGCTCATTGCCAGTGTTGTGTTTATGCTCAAGAAAATCATACCCAGTACAGCCTTCGACAATGTTCCATGTTTCATACTGAAAATCTGTCATGATTCTTTGTACTTTTTGTTTGCATTATGATGCCACACAGAGGTAGTGGCTGCCACTTTAGGTATGCACAGGTGTGTCCAACACTCCTGACACGTCCCTCTCATTTTTTTCCCCATTATACACTCCCCTCAATGTCAATAGCTCCATTTGAGCAACCTAGAGCTTTCTGCACCCATACTCATTCCAGCCTTCTCAAACAGTACACATGAAGCCCCCTGCTCCTTTATTCAATGATGGTTACGGAGTCTCTCATCTCCAGTCATGCCCGGGCCATCAAGGTCTGCCTTCAGCCGCTGACATCCTCACCAGACGCCAGGAGGCTGGACCTTACAGACTCACGGACTCTTACGGTAACAATCCGAGCCTCATATCGCACTACCTCATAAACTTGCACACATACCCACACACAACCATTCACTCTACTTTACGGGGTTTAGCTGCAGTTGTCACTGCCCACTGTCACTGCTCACTTCGGCCTGGCTGTCTCGCCCCCATGCCTCCACGTATGGGAGAACCGATCTTCCACATCTGCTTACCCTCCCACAGCTAACTCAAGACTGAGGTCCTACACTCAAGACTCAAAGCCTCAAGACGTAGCTGAGGTTCATGACCACTCCTTCCTCTCAGTTGTGGTTATGAACGCAACTCATTGCTCTCTATCAGGAGCTCTGCATCACAGCCGAGTACTGCCCTCAGGAAACCATGATGATAGAACATTTTCTGTGATTGTGTTTATATCTGAATCTATCAAAACTGAAAATTGCTTTTGCTTGCACACCACTATATATTTGTGTACATTTGTAGATTTCACTTGTACTTTCATATTTCACAATAGTCTTTAAAGTTTGTTTCTTTTTAAAGCTAGTTTTGTAAAGCTTTAAATGGCCAGCTTCTTAGATGCATAGCTGCCCCTGTTGTAGTTTTTGTCACCTCTCATTTTTTTTAACTTCCCCCTTTACTGTACATTAAAAAAAATGCTAAAATGCTAAAAAAAGAAGACATCAATCCCAATTCTTAAAGGCCTTGCAAAAGGTTATACATCTCATGGGCATAGGCAGTACTAAAATATTCCACTTGTTCTCATCAACCTGAATATGAAAAGGCCAACAGCAAGTCAAAACTTTTTCTTTGCCTAATTCCATAGTGCAATAGAGTGTCTGCCTTAAAGTAATTTCCATTTACATCTCTCTCCTAGGCATAGAAAAGAATTACAAAAGGGGCCAGATGTACAGTATTCAGAAAGTGTCATACATTGCCAAGAGTAAACATTTTTTAATTAAGAATAACCTCCAGATTAGCTAATGAAGTTATTAGTATGCCTTTGCATGGTTGCAATCCACAATAATATAGTAGTTTGCGTATAATGTCAGAAATAATTACATAAACAAAGATAAAAGGGGGCATATAATGCAAATTACACATACTAGATTACAATGTAGCAATGTTGTTGGTTTGTCAGGCAACACATTAGAAAGTGCCACACCACCAAGACAGTGAGATACACATTAGCAGAAAATGGTCTCACTGGGTGTGTAGCTGGAGGGAAACCTTTGCTTCATCCTTTTTGTTTTGTTTCCCTTCATAAGTAAATGTTACTGAGCAATTACAAACACTTAGGAACTTAGCAGCTTTTACAAATAGTTTGAGTTTTCTTCCTTTGAACAGTATCTTATTCACAAACCTCTCTCAGTCTTACATGTGATACTGGGTGAAACTAAGTTGGGCTGGAACATGTTGACAGAAAAAGATTTCATTAACTTAGATGTCTAGACATCTCAGGAGAAACAGCGTTCATTACACTTTTAAAACTCTACAATGGTATCACTGCCAGTGCTTATGTAGGGCCTCAAATTGTGTAGCATGTTGTAATGGGTTGACCAACAGTGTTGCAATATTGTAGCATTATTTTTTACACAAAAAAAACTATTCAATTGCATTATTTGCCCACTTTTTACATAATTATTTCCAATATGTTATATCATTTTCAGAGCTGTATTCTTGCAAGGTTGCTCTCAGGGTCGTCTGAAGCTGCAACTGGCCTGGAGCCTAAGCACAGAGTTCTTTCTCAAGGTGGTGAAGTAAGCTGAAACTCTTTCATCTGGAAAAATACAAGCCGAAAGGTGAGGGTTAAATGATTTTAGATTTTATACGAAGACTGCATTTCACAGTTGTGCATTACATAACACATTGTTGGGAAATCAGTTGTAGGAGATTTCTGCATTTGCAACTGAACAGCACATGCCTTTTTATTTTTTGCCACAGATAAGCCTACAGACAGAAAAAAGACTGTCTGCTGTAGCATGTTGCTGCATCAAAAGTCTCTAAAAATGGGCAGGTGTTCAAGAAGCTCAAAGGTTCTTTGAGGCTGCGTATGTTTGTCCCCGGTGAAGATACAGCAAGCAGCAAGGTCTGTTACTGCACAGAAGATCATGGCAGATTGTGCCGCCCAGTGGTTATAATGGCTTCTCCAGATGCATATTGTAACTTCCGTTGTTTTATACAAACAGCAGAAGTCATTCAGAAAAGGATCTCATTTTTGTTTAAAAAAAACAATATGTTTACATAGCCAATAAATTAAGAAAAAAAAACCCTGAAAAACACTGATCCTTTTTGTGGATTAAATTCATTCATACTTTACATGTAAGGGCCATCCTGAAAGACTTTTTATCCCTATATTATTACAGTATTATCCAGAGGGAGTACATAAATCTGCTTTTTCGCAGTTCAGAAATGAAATATGAAATATGCTCCAAATTGCTAATCTCAAAATAAAAAAAAAACCTCACAGATGCCTACCTGACAAACCACTTTCACAAATGCAATGTGAGTACAGTGTCATAGTGTGAGGTCATTTGTACCTAGCAATGAAGTAAAAGTCACTTGTCAAAATTTAGGTTCCTGACTCATGCTGTTTGAATGATTATGGTTGCTTGTCAGAGCTTTGTGTTGGAACGAGTATGTTTTTCTAGTTAATTTTATATTAACTGCAATCTAAAAGCTTGCATTATTTCAAACTGTTTATGATTCAGTTACATTAGCTGTTTTTAAGAAATGAAACAAATGATTCAAAGAAATACAGACCACATTTTCCAAATGATATTTGATCATACAACTGATTGGTCAAATTAACTAGCACTGCCATTATGTGTAGTAACAACTCCAAGAGTTTTTTTCTTCTGTATTCTACATATAATTTTATACAGCTATTCAGTTTTTGGAGTAGGGATCACTAAGCTAATTTCAGAATTTAATTTTAAATAACTACCTTATTAATTCATTCTAAAGAGTTCAAGACCTCAATCTGAAATACAATATGTTGTGCTGAAACTGAAAAACAAAACATGAAACATACAGTATAGCCTACTGTATCTCATTAAGCCCTGAAATGAATCTTCTTAGTCTTTCCCAGACTTTCTCTTCTGGATCCCCTTTGTAATCTGGCGGCAATGACTGGAACATATCTTGATTTGTATCATACATTCTTTGCTATGCAGCCAAACGTTTTGTGTGGTTTATTATTCTCGGAAAATGGCTGTCTCTGGAGCACGGTTTGAATTTCTACAGTACTGTACCTATCCAGTTATTACTTTAGTTAGTGTTTGTCCTCAACTTTTAAGTTTGGTTCATAGATACAGAAATATTAATTTGATCTTATTGGCTCCCTCTATTGGGATCTCTGTGGTTTCCTTGGACACAGAACACAATTTAACACTGTAGGGTCCATTGCAATGTCTATTGCTGTGCTGAGGGGTCTACGTGCTATGAGCACCCTGAGACTCTAGATTACTTGATTACTTGGAGGATAAGTTCCTACTGAATATAGAGTGATGCTTATACTGTATATGTCTATCAAGGAACTGAAAGCATAACAACTATTAAAAGGATAGGAAACCGAGAGTACTTTATACATACTGTAGGTGTGAATTCTCCAATTGGAGTGACAATTAGTAAGGTATGAACAAATATGAAGGTTATACATTTGTAATAAGTGCACAATACATAATATGTTACATTTACATATTTGACATGCATTACATTAAAATCAGTTTCGTAAACACATCATCATTTCCAGTGAAGACTTAATTTTGTTAAATTTATATACTGCAGATTTGTGATCAAATACTGAGTTCTTCATAATCAGTGTGTAACTTTAAACATTTTTTCCTCCTTAACAAATAGCATTAATTGCGTGAATAAAAGTGGAACATACTGCTCATATCCCGCTATCTAACGTTCACCTCCCACATTAATCCCCCTCGAGGCACACGTTTGAAATATTATGAGGAACGCTTTTAAGATAAAAATGGATTTAATAAGTAATCCACACGGGATTTTTTATTCACCACTTCTATAGGCGCATTAACTCAACATTAAACGAGTATTCTCGGATTCCCTTCCCACATAAATAGCATCTATATTCTTATTTGACAACTCAGCTGCCTTAATAACTCAATGGTCTGAGCAAATCAATTCAAAAAGACCGCTTTTGGAAGTGTACGAATGCCCCGCGAACACTCCTTGCTCGGACTGGTGTTTCTAGTGGATTGGGGGACTTGGGTGCCGAAGATTAGGCATTGAGAAAGATGACTCCCACACACTACGCCGACTAGTGAAAGATTGCTTCAAAATTGCACGGTGTTGCATCAACATACCCTAACACTAGTTTAAGTATAATTTGCTTACCGAATGACCCGTGCGCTCGTTCCACTACCGCCAGTAAAAAATAATCAGACACCGCGACCTTACCAGGTAATAACAACACTAAGTTCTTTTGCGTGAAGTTGAAAGTTAAGTGTAAAATTTAAGCGCGTTATCTACTCAATAAGAAGCAGCAAAGGAACATTAGTATAATCTTAAATATTTAAGAAGAAACGAGTAATTGATTATCGACAACCCACCTGAACTATTTCATTTGTTGATATTTATATATTTGTTCTCGATGCGATATACTGTATCTCCTAGGAAGCACTTTGTATAGGATTATTACAGCTTGAAAGTGATGCTCTGTAAGTGCTGAGGGCAAGTCGGGGCATGTACAATGAGCGCTTCGTGATGGAATATAGCAGAATTTGGGCTCCACGCTAGTGTTTTTGATTGGAGACAAGAAAGGGTTCTTTTTAAAAATTGTGGAACAAATGAATGCAGGTACAGTACTGAGATTTGATTTTCAAAGAAAACGAGTTGGCAATTATTGTGTTTGGCAGAAGGAAGGATCTGTCGGAATGATGACTCACTCCCTCTAGTACCGAGTTCAAGTGAAATAAGCATTGTTGCGGTTTATCAGCTTTGAAGGTAAAAAAAAAAGTTATTATAATCCAATGCTGTTCGTTACAACTAACCAATTACAGAATTATGGGAATCAAAACTGTGTGTATATATATAAAAACAAACTTTAATGCTAAGCAAGTTGGGTTTTTTTTCCACAATGCAGTGAGCGAGCATGTACAGTAGTGTAGTTGCGGTGCTGTTTATTGGGATGGAATTGTAAAAGATGCAGAGAGAAACTTTCATAATGGGAAAGGGAAAGGCGTAAAAACAATAGAAACCATTTCGTATGTTTCGTATAAGCACACGTTTTGATAAGAGTCATGATTTTGGTTTTGTTCAAGGAATGGGATATAACGTAGCAGATGATGTTAGTAGCGGACTATGGATACTGTATTTCTACTAATAATTTTTCATATTAATAAATAATAAAGTAATAAATAAATGACATGACTGTTTATACGGTGTTTCAGTCTCTGAACTACATTTGCATCAACTTTCTGATGTAAAACAGTACTCATTTCTTTTTTGTCCTTGCAGATCTCTGACAAATTGTTTTTTTCTGTAGTATGACCTCATCTACTTCATGTATTATGGATTGCTCAGAAATGGAGTACTTTGACAATGGCAAATGTATTCTTTGCTTGAAATGTGGACCAGGAGAGGAGCTTTCTCAGGTGAGATAGGAAACCTTCATCCCTATTATAGTATTTTCATCTTTATGTTATCAATGCCAAGTGATCCCTGTATTATTATAATTATGGGATTTGTATATGCGCTGTATATACGTATAAACATAAGATCACTATCAATATTTGCTGCATTTTAGTAAAAACTGTATAAAAAGAGTTAAAAACCTATATCCAAAACACAAGACAAAACAAAGATAAAACATAAGAAGGATAGTGGTACAATCAATACAGATACAAGGAGATCATGCCCCCAGGTAAAATTAGAGCTCTCCAGTACAAACACAAATGAAAGAGTACAACTAGGATTTCAGATTACTGTATGATGGAACAGGGTTCATTCTGACTATGGCAATCTCATATGAAAAGAATTTTGCCAGCAAAAAAAGCTTTGTTTCGAGTCCATACAAGTACTATACACTTGGCAGATGTGCCCTCATTCTACACATTTGCTGTGAATAGTGAGTGTTTTGTCAAAGAAGGTTTACTTATGAACTAAAGCTACTTCTTTTGGTCAGAGGATATGTGCAGATTCCATTCTCTCTTCTACTGTGAATCTTTTGTTGATTAGGATAAAGATGAATAAAGTTTAGATTGTATCTAGCTAGATGAAAATGATGAAACTGCTGATTTTTCAGTACTTCTATGCAGCCAAATGGAAGAAATTAGATTTACCATAAGATAAGATTTAATCAATCTTTAATTATGTAGATCCTTATGAAAGAAAATTATAATATCAGATTGAATATGTCCAAACATTTCCTTGTGTAATGAGGAAATTATATAATGTATTTCTCATTATGTAACGAGAAATCCATATTTCTCTTGTTAATACTGGAGATTATTTCAAACTTAAATTTCTGTCCTTTCTGCTGTCCTCTATTCTCGCCTGGGATGATTAAAGAGAAAGATTTTCTGTTTTAAGTCTTTTTAGTTTTGCCCCAATGCTTAGTTTGTCTCTGGTTTAACATGTCAACAGGAGTGTGGCTTTGGAAGTGGAGGAGAAGCACACTGCTTAAAATGTAAGCCTAGGCATTATAAAGATGACTGGGGGCATCATGACTGCAAACCCTGTTTATCCTGTAAACTATTGAATCGATACCAGAAGGCTAACTGCACGGCCGGCAGCAATGCAGTATGTGGGGATTGTTTACCTGGGTAAGTCAACATACTGTATGTATCATAGGTGTGTGTGACGTGTACATGCTTGTCTCCAGATAGAATTCTATCACTGTTTTTAGATATTTTCCTAGTCATGTCACAATGCTCCTACCCCACCTCAGCAGCAGTGAAGTCAGCTAAACTGAGCAGCTGTTTATTGTCCTTAGGAGGGGGTAATAAGGGGTCATGTCACTGTAACAGGTTTATCTTACATAAATTCTGCACAGAGATGGGAGTCCCAGCTGAATGCATATTTGGCTTGCTTAATCTGAGTTGAATTTCACATATAATGACTTTGGTGCAATTCTAATTGCTCACTTCTTCACCTGCACTACAGTGTATTGGGGTTTCTGGTGCAGAATAGATGTTGCCCAAATGGATTCTGAACTTCAGTGACGTGAATCCTCCCATTTGGGATGAAAACTCCTACAGAAGTGCAAGGGATTATTTTTATTAAAACAGTGTCATAAAAAACATTAAGATGACTCTGTGATACTGAAGCAGGACTGTTTGCATGGGATAATATAAACTGCAGATGTTTGACATTGACAGGAGTAAAGCATTATACTTAACATAAGCCCTGTTGTCTACAGATGCAGACATTAATTTACCCATAAAGATACATGAAAGGTTGCAAACAACAGGAGGACATTCAGCCAATCCACAGTAGTTTGTTTGGCTAATTGATCAGAAGGTCTCATCCAGAAATTTCTTGAAAGAATCCCGGGTATACACTGAACATAATTGTTGGGTACTTTGTTCCAGAGGGCCACAATTCCTTCCATGCAAAAGTGTTTTGTTGGTCTCAAGTTTCACCTGTATCCTCTGATTTGACTGATGAGCTCAGTTCATTTACCTAATTTCCTAATTTAAGGAAATGAAAGCCATTTTGTACGCTGTGACATAAAATCCAAAGAGCCAGATTAATTAATTTTACATTGAATTTTAAACTGCTTTCTTTTATTACTTTCAGATATTACAGGAAAATCCGTATTGATGGTTTGCATGATATGGAGTGCATGCCTTGTAGTCACTCATCCTCCAGTGATCCTCAATGCTCTAGTAAGTTATTGAATTACATGAGGCATGCTATAGAATAAGCAACAATACTTGACGGACATTTTTAAAAGGAACATAATTTAAAATGTAAAAATAACTCTGAAAGGTTAATGTGGTTACCATATTGAAAATTGGAGTTAGTTAAGTGACGGTTTAAGGCAGAGCTTTTCATAATAATAGAGCTTCTAAAACGTGACTGTCAAAATAATCAAATTCAGGATGAATAGAGTTTGTATGTTACACAAAGGAAGTTTTAAGAACATTAATATTTGTCAGCAGAGTTCCTAAATCCAGTTATTTTGAGGTTAATGCTCAAGCTAACATGTCTGATTCTGGTAACTTTGTTCTCACAAATATCCCAACTTTATAAAACCAGTAGTTTAGCAGAACCTTCTATAAATTTCTGTTTTAAAGCTTGTCAATAAGGGAAAAAAAACACGTTTTGCACTCTCCCTAGGTCTGATATTAAAAATCATACTTAGTAAAGTGTAGTTATCCACACCAATTCCAACATGTTTCGGTATCAAAAAATGTCAAAGCTGATGTGTGGTATTAAGTCCCAAATTGAGCAGGTTACATTTCAAAGATCATCTTCAATTTTCTACAACAGCATCAAATTGTATTATTATTGCTTTGCAGGTAGCAGTGGAATTGGTGTAGTAAAAGTCTGGAGCTCTAAAACCCCACCTCAGGATGCTGCTATTGCTTCTGTCATTTGTGCCGCCTTTGTCACCATGGTGATTGCTTTGTCACTCCTGTGTTATGTGTACCGTCGACGTACCTTTATTAGGAACCTTGGTCAAGGTATTGTTTTAAGCAATAGTATACTGTAAATGTTGAAGTATTATGAGATACAGTTTGTGTTACAAACATTTCATTAGCTCACAATGAAAATAGTGTTTTGTTAAAAAAATCTTATCATATTATAGGATTTTAATAGGTGATCAGTGCTCAACAATTGTATAACAGGGTTCTTTTCCAACTAATTAAACCTTATTTTAGGGCCTTTATCTTTAAACTGGCTTACTTACAAAAATATAATTTACAAATAAGAATAATTTATATTAAATTGTAAATGCAGCAAAGCCCAGTGAATAACCAGCTTTTCTTATTTAATAAAATGTGTTCTAGAATCTTTATGGAAATCAAATATAATCATCTTACTATTTTGTTGAAAAATAAAATTCAGTTCAATTTAAAAAGAAGGAGTACACACTAATATAGTTGTTTTGTTTTATTTTTTGGTTAAAAACTGATTTGAAATCTACATTTATTATATCTTTAAAAATATTGCATTTTTCCCAAAAGGGTGTTTTGGATCCCAAAATATTGATCAGACTGAGGTGGGGTATTCTGCAAATACTGTTGAAAATACAAGAACTCCAAGCCCAAAAACACAGGATAAAGACAAGGCTGAAGGTCAGTGCCATGAATAATCTTAGAAATTATAACTTGCAACAATGAAACAACAGTTTCTATTTATAATGACTCTCTTTATAATTGGAAATCATTGGAAATCAATAGTCTTTCCTTTTGGACACATTTGGACTAATGCACGTGTCCCTCTGCATTCTGCCCCCTTTATAATGCAACTACCAGTTATTGCTGATGTCAAATTCTATATTAACTGTGGTTTCTCTGGTACAGGGCACTGTACGTACTTAAGAATAACAACAATAACTGTAGAAAGAGTGAGCTGAATCTGTATTATCAAATTGTAATGTATCTCTTTGTAAAATTGCTTGTTCTACCAATTTTGATAGCCAGTGCTTATCAAGTTTTTCTCTACTTTTTCTAATTCATTTTCTAATTCTGCAGGTCGTTCTGACTCGTTGGCTACAGACGATTCTCCCGCTAGCTTGAGATCTTTTGTTCAGGCCCATACATTCCCAGGAACAGTGGTGAAACACCCCGTGCTGAAACCTCAGCATGTGAGCAGCTCGTCAGAAACCCAACCTTTGATGAGAGATTCAACCTGCAGCAACTGCTCTTCTGGATGCCAATCCCAAAGATCCTCGAGCTTCAGACATAGTGCTGAATACCCCTCAGAGTCTGCTTGTATTCAGCCAGTGGTTACAGCAGTGCCGGCTAACCAATACTGTGCATCAGACCAGCATGAAAGGCATCAGCATGCTCCAGTAGAATGTACAGAGTTAGATTTTAATAGCCCTGCTGGTTTGGAGAACAGTGGACTTGATGCTGAGATTATAGGACCAGCAGAAACTAGTATAAGGTGTATGGATAATGTGTCTGTGGAGCAAAATAATGTACTGTTTGCCAGTTGTACACAAAACATTGACAGCTGCGCGAAAGCTAATCAACAATCCTGCATCAACAACTGCAGTAATTTGGTAATTGCCTTTATTTCAATTTACAGAATATTCAGAAAAAAACTCAGAAAGGATTATTATACTGAGAGACATTAAAAATCTAACAACGACCCTTGGTTATAACACTCATTTGCTATGTTTTTAGTGTCTCTCAGTATTATTCTAATTTTTGTTAATCTTTATTGTTATTTTGTAAATCTTACTTTTAAAATATAAATTGTATAATGTATACATATAATGCTTGTTTTTGAATAACAATTCAAACAAAGGAAGGATAATGTTCACATTGACATGACATTTTTGAATTACTGAATATTCTATGATAGAACAATTTTTTCCCCACAAAACCAGGAGAGAAAACTAAAATGTATTGATTCTATACATACAAAGGAGTAAAAAACAACAAAAAAGGCAGTCTGGATTTAATGCAATCCAGTAAAAGGTCACAGACCTTTGTCTGTCTGTTTTATGTACAGTATTAGAAGAATTTCTCAGAAAAAAACTATTTAGCAATCACTTGAGCATAATTACTGTACGTCTTCCACATACAGTACTTGACATTATTGTAAGCCTTATCTTCCTTATGAAGAAATTTCACTGAATATTCCTTAAATTTAACTCGGCAGATGCAAATTTAAATTTTACAGATGCAGATGAACAGTAGTATTATTTATTAATTTTTGGTTCACTAACATAGTGTCCCTGATTTTTCCAATATTGTTTTTTTCCAGGATTCTGTTCAAAACATAGTAAAGAGGAGTTGTGATCTCATGCATGGTGAGTACAGTTTTCAGTTAAATTAGATTGTAATGCTAACAGCATATTCTTAATCAATCTAGATTAATGAAGAATTAATCAAAGCTTATGACTCTCTTGTCCAACCAAGTTTCTTTTTAGAGATTAGGTGACTAATCTGTTTCTAATGGTACAGTTATTATTATCTATCTTAGAAGATATCTTACTGTCAAATATCCAAACTAAAAAACACTAAGCTTTCTGAGAATTTGGAACATGTCACAATAGTAAAAAGTTTTGCAACCAGATTTTAAAAGCGTGTATTTGCATTTTAAATATTTGTAAAAGTTTTAACGATGTATTGGTAGAAATTATTTATTCAAACGAATAAATTACATATGCCACTTACTGAACAAAATAATAATGAGGCTGATTCAGATTAATCGACGACTTTCTAAAAATGCAATACCATTGGGTTTTTACATTATGATTAATATACTGATTAGGCATGTGCCTAAATTATGCTCTTTTTGCACTCACAAAACTGAATGCAAATACAATCATTGGAAAATACTTATAAAGCATTCCTAACATTTCTGAAGTATACTTATTTACCACTGTGTTTGAAATCTTAACAGAACTTCATTCTTTTGTACTATGATAAGTAATCCAGTAGTTAAGTAATTTTAACTGTTAAAATCTTAATTTTCTATATGAATGGTTTAATGCTTTAATTCAGGTTATTCTACAAAAGCTGCCTGCTTCAGAAACTTTTTGAGCTAGTGTAGGAGGCTGGATTTAGAAAACCTGTTTCCCACTATGCACTGATGTGTCCCAAAACTATCCTTTATCTTGGCTAAGAAATATAGTTAAACCTACAATACTTTACTGTTTGGGAGGCTGCAGGGAAAAAAGAGACAATTCTGCCAAGAGAGCAAACAGCATACTTGGAAACACATACTTTTTTCTCTAGCCTTATTAATGGCTGAGGAGAATGAGATATGCCTTTCCTTAAAGCAGAAACATTCACTGGATGCTAGTATAATAATTTGAGCCTCTTATTTTAATGTGACTCCTCCTGATTTAGAATCTGGTTCAAATTTGAAGTTTCTGATTGGAAATCCAGCTTCTTAGCTGTCAAGTCTGAAATATAACAGAAGTACTTAATGGCAGCTGATACAAATATGTAATAGCAGTAATTTGTAGCCCTCATATTTTAAGATGAACTGTTTTTAATAAAAAAAAACAATTTTGTTACTAGAACAAAAATGTCAGACTACTTTCCTTTGGGAGCTTCGTTTTTATAGAAGACAATTTGAAGAGGGTACATCTAACAGGTCCTTAAAGTCTGAATAACCACACATGAGCAAATTTTCAAGGACTTGTTTCTTTGTTGTGTTGCAAGACATCACAAGAGCATTTGCTGTGTGATTAATTTTTAGTGATAAAAATAAGTGGTAAAGTTTAACCACACTGACATTAAGATGTAGAGAGCTTTGTGTGTGAATATTTCATATGGAAGCTTGTAAACTTGAATATCCTTTAATCACACCACCGTTGTCATCTTTAGGAGTCCGTTTGTGGAGTCTCCCGAAAGCTCTTGTTCAGTCTCTGTCTCTGAAGCTGGATCCATCATTCCCTGGAGTGAAAAATTATAGGCAAGTGGGCCTGGAGCTGGGAGTGCCAGAGGAAGTGATAAACAATATTGCGGGGTTTGAGAATGTATTTAACTACCTCTCCTCCTGCACTTTGAACACAGTCCCTGACCTTGTAAAAACTTTACATTACGTGCAGAGGTTCGATGCCCTATTTATGCTATGTGAATATGCAACTCAAAGCCAGTCTGGTGTCTGTTAGCTGTCAAAAACAAAAATGCAATCTCTGTGGTCCTGGTGAGCACAAATTAAGCCATTAAATGTGGGAATGTGGGAGAAAGGCATTACCATATAACTGGCAGGGAAATAAAATGCAGGCCGCTGATTTTTTTAAAATGTCTGTGAAGACACACTGCCAGGAATCAGATGTGTGTTTGACACTTATACATACTGTATATATAATTTTAATTGTCCATTGTTTTAATGTTTGCTTTGTTAAAAGCTAACACTACAGAGCTACAGTATTGGAAGATGTGGTGCTGGAGGGATGATGAGTTTATATGTAGTACAATGTAAGAATTGTGTATTGTGTTTTTGTATACTTGTGCACAGTTTTTGTGCTGGTTGTATATCTTCACTGTATTTCTTTACAGCATTCCTCTGTGTTCAAGGAACGGATTTATTTTACAATCTGATAATCTGATGTCTCTTTATTCTGTTTCCAGAATAAAAAATAAAACAGAATTATGGCATGGTGATTAAATTTATCAAATAAAAGCTATTGTGGCATGACAGTTCCTAATCTAGTGGGAGTACTAAAACCTAATTACGTAATTCAGCATTAACATTTTTTTGGTGGAAAGAAAAGTTGAAAAGTAAAATTAAAATCTTTTAGAAGCTCTTGTCAAAAATGAGTTACAGTACACATTCCAGAATATTTTAAAAGCTCTGGCACAAGAGTTAAATGATCAATGTGCATTATAACTACTTTGGTTCCTTATTTTCACGAAGATGTATTTATTTCTTCTACATTTAAATTGTGTTTTAGTTTGTTGTCAGAATTGTTCCCCCTTTCAAATTGAAATTGTGGTCTTGTTTACTTTGAAAAACCTGACCTGCAGCATAGAATAATCCAATTGCAATTCTTTAAAATCCTAAACGAAAATCTTACAGTTAAAGGTTGTGTAAAAATCAGAGGCTAAAGAAAACGGCCTTAACTAAGTAAGGTTTGTGTAATACATGTTTAACTTGATATATTTCCCTTTTCTGTAGTTCTGGAGACCACATTAAGATAGAAGAAGGTTTTGTGGCTTAAATATATTTGCTTGAAAAATGTTGTAATTGTGGGTGATCACATTTCAGAACATAAGCACAACTGAGTGCCACAGAGATACAGTTACCTAAGAATAACTTTTTTTGTCAAGCAAAAATATTGTTTCTTGAAATAGTAGAGCAGTGCAGAGAGACCTCTGTGCATTAGTGAAGAATGCTTTGTAAGCATTAAATTTATGTTGATGTTTAATGTTTCAGGTCATTCTGGAATTTGATGTGTCAGTATTATGAAATGGTCCTAAATATAATGTTGTGTTCAAATAGATTTACAGATCATTTCTTATCCCAACTGTAATACTGCCTGATACCTGTAAATTTTACATTTTAAAATTATTTTTTAATCGTTTGTTAGGTCATAAAATGTGTTTTCCTGGTGCTATTATAAAGATAATTCTTCTTTTTATTTTTATTATATTAAAAGCTTATAAGTCTTTGTTAGGTTGTATTTATTGCTTGATTTATTGCTGTCCCCACTTGTGTAATAGTCAGAACTGATAAACACAGTTCTGACAAACGTATAGCAAAATCCAATCAACTGAGATGATAATCGACAAAGCCCTAGAGATGCAGAGTCAGGAATTTGTCCTGCTTGCTCATGGCTCCAGGGTCCTAAGATTTATTGCATCCTCAGGTATTTGTGTACAGTAGTTTTCTTTTTATCCTAGTGTTACTGTAGGTTTTTGTTGGTTATTTCAGTTTTCCTAAACCTCCCTTAAAACAGACTTCTGTACATTTGATTAGCTATTCAAAATTGTACCTTTCTCAATGACCTTACAATGGACTGGAAAATTAGTTTCTGTTTTTATCCTATACTTCCAGTATAGACTTGACTTTCTGTGACCATCATCAGCATAAGTGCTTTTCTGCTAATACAGAAGTTAGGAACTCAACTAATCTCACACTTCTGTTTTTTTTAAGGTACTGTACAGTACATATGCCTGCTCTGCTCTCCTTCTAGCACATTTTCTAGCACAAGGTTTTCAGGTCTCGCTGGGAGACAAACATCGCACGTCAAGCACTTGGCATTGCTAGACCTTACCTTTTGTCACTCCTGCGTCTCTCCCACCTTGTCATATATTTGACGCTTGCCAGCCTTTCTAGCTAGCTCTGTGCTAGCAAGGTGGGAGAGACTGCCGTTCAGCTCATCCAAGACAAATGTTCTTGAACAAGCAGCTCAATAGAAAACAGTTGGGATACTTGCATTTGCCACAATATTAACGAATATCTACCGTAGTTCCCCTGATGTTACTCTTCCATGTGTGCTTCCCTTTTTTCTTTTGCCCCTCTTTTTTTCTGAATCACTGCTCTCTCCTTCTCCCCTTCCTTTTCACTCTGTTTCTGAATTAGCTTCAGACCCACTGTACCTGTCTCTAGCCTAACTCCTCATTCCCCAGTCTTTTACTTGTCCCTGGAGGAGCTTGTCTGGTCATTGAAGCCCACTTTCCCCAAGGGTACGAGTGCATGGTATCAGTGTGCTCTGGGTCAGGGCTTCTCCTTCACTGCCCTCACCATTCCTGATGTTTACCCTCTGCCTTTAACCCCCTCCTCTGCTGATGATCAAATGGAGCAGTGGCAGCCCTCTTTCACTTCAAGCCACCTACTCTTGGGTGCACTGGATTCCTGTTAGTTTTCAGGACCTTTGCTTTTTCTGGTATTTTTCTTCGGATTCATCACTTCAAGAACATCACTTTAGCCGATGTGTTTTTTAGGGATTTCACACAGAATCCATCATCATCTGTCATCAGAAAATCATAGCTGTACCAAATAAGAGCAGGTAATAACTCACTACCAGTTAATATTCTGCTTTTGTCTCTGTGCAGATGACCTCAGGCTACTCTTTCCAGGTTGGCACAGTGTTTTCCACTACCCACCACAGAATTCCAGTCCAGCCTATCAATAGCTGAAGAATGTACCTGAAGAAGTTTGTCAGTGTTTTGAGGTTCCTTTAATCCTTTTTGGAAATTATAGCAGCCTTAACCTTGTGGCCAGGGTCTAGTAATGCTTATAATTTTAAGTATGCTATTTAGTTTCAATGTGGCATCGTTTTAATTAGAATTTGACAAACTACTGAAAAGTTTTTAGTATGCTACTTCTTTATATTTGTCATAGTATCACATAAATTAGAATTTGGCTAAATTACTGAAATACTGTTAACCCATATCATACTAACTGTGGACTTCAAAGCTTTTTCCAACCTATGTTAAAAGGTTTTTTTCCCAAAAAATAAAGATTTGTTTACACAGGAACTTAGAAGGATAGTTTCACTATGAAGAAAACTCAGATGAAAACATGTTTTAATAGTTTAACATGGCAAGTGTAAGTGTATTTTCTGTAAAAGTATTATAGCTCAGTTTCAAGAATGTTGGCTTTCATACCCTGATACTTCAATCATTTTCACCAGGAGCTGCTCCTCTGGATCTAGTTAAAGTCAATCAAAGTAAAATCAAACTTCTACCTACATTCTTATCAAATAGCCCTTTAATGTCATCTGCAAAAATGAAGGAGTTGGAGGTTATGCTTGTGCTGGACTTCAACAGATCTGCACATTGTGTATACTGCTACTGTATATGCTCATAAATGAGATCATGCAAACACCATAACAGCTTTCCAGGATTAAAATTTACCATAGATAAATAATTTAATAAACCTTATTTTGTATGTTTAAAATATTTGAAGTAGTTTTTCAGACAGAAATTGCCAGCATCAATGCCTGCAATTTCTTTTTATTCAAATATGCTTTTCAGGGTGTTTATTATTTGTTTAGTTTGCATTTACTGTAACTTTAGAAATTCTGCTGTGATTTTTGTAATAATAATTGCTTACACTTATATAATGCTTTTCTGGACACTCCTTTCAAAGTGCTTTACAGGTAATGGGGACTCCCCTGCAGCACCACCAATGTGCAGCATCCACCTGGATGGTGCGACGGCAGCCATAGTGCGCCAGAACGCTCACCACACACCAGCTATCAGTGGGGAGAGCAGAGTAATGTAGCCAATTCATAGATAGGGATTATTAGGATGCCATGATTGGTAAGGGCCAAATTGGAAATTTGGCCAGGACACCGGGGTTACACCCCTACTCTTTTCGAGATTTTTAATGACCACAGAGAGTCAGTACCTCGGTTTTACGTCTCATCCAAAGGACGGCGCCTGTTTACAGTATAGTGTCCCTGGGGCATTAGGACCCACATGGACCGCAGGGTGAGCACCCCCTGCTGGCCCCATTAACACCTCTTCCAGCAGCAACCTTAGTTTTTCCCAGGAGGTCTGACATCCAGGTACTGATCAGGCTCACACCTGCTTAGCTTCAGTGGGTTGCCAGTTGTGAGTTTCAGGGTGATATGGGTGATATGACAGAGGAAGTTCACCTCAATTTCTCATGACAGAGAGAATCCCATTCTTCTGAGTCTGTCATTATTTGAGGTGTTGAAAAACCTTAAGGTATGTGAAACTTTGTGCTGTGGCCGGATTATGATTTCAAGTTTAAAAGAGAAGGAAATAGCTAATATGGTCATCTGGAAAGTCTGGTAATTTAATATCCATTATCTATATTCTGCTGGCACAATCTAGAGAGCACCTTTACTAGATGCTAAAATTAATATTCTTATCAATCATGTTATGTTACTATTACTTTACAGACATTAAAACACTCTTGGGTCAATTTAATAATTCAGTTAATGTAACTTAGGTCAACATGTAATCTTCCATGAAATTACATCCAATGAGATAAGACAATTATGTTCTCAAGGTTATTTGTCATTTGTGAAACTCAAAAGACTTTGGTTTCAGCCTATTGTCACTTTAGAAATATTATTTTAAAGGATTTAGACTGATGCATAACAATTATTAATATTACTAATGGGAAGGTATGTCTATAGCTTGAGATAAGTGTTGATTAAATACTGCCAACAAATGCATTTGCACCTGCCAAAAATAATTAATACTCTTGAGGACCATTCAAAGAGGGAAAAAAATCTGCATATATTATAGAAATTAAAGGCTTACAGAAGAATAGGAAATGTAAACCGCTCTTGTGTATTTTAGAAGAAATTAAACACAGTTAATAGTCCAAAACTCAAGGACACCAAATTTGTCTGGAGTATGTCTTAAAAAAATAAAGTAACTAATGTTAGGTTCAGATGCAGTTTTGGAAGGAAAGAAGTTAAATAACAGAACTCATTTCAACTCTTTGCTACAAGAGTGGAAATTTCCAGGAAGGCATTGCCACAAAAAGTATTACCCAAGATCATCCCAGTGACAGTCAGTGAAGATGGGATCAGGTGACTTCAGATGAAATCTAATGTTTTCTGAATCTACAAAGTAGTTTTCAACTTGCATGACACAGTGAGGATGAGAAGTACTGTATTGTCCATTAAAATAACAGCTGGACAAAATGTCTGCAGTTGCTGGCATAACAGAGGTTTTTTTCCCCCGTTTGATATAAAGCGTTTCTGTAGCACACAAGAACTTAAGTGGCACTATGCTTGACAACACATTTTCCATCTATTTTGATACCTTTGTTTTAAGCATCTATTAAACAGAAAAGAGCTCTAGGATAGAGCTGTACATACACCCATTGCAAATCCTTATTCATTGCGCACCGATGACACATCAAGGAAATGAAGAATGTGTGACTACATGGAAAGTTCAATTCTTCAGTCAGGCTGAAAACTGTAAGGCCATTCGTGAATACTTCATCTTACACGCTGTATATAATGCACATTCTTGTACATTTTCATATGTAAATGGAGTGCTCAAGACAGATCAAATAATTGCATTTTGAACATCTTATGGATCTTAAAGTAATCGCTACTTTATACACAGTTGATTTTGATCGAAATAGGACCATGACTTATCTGATGTTACCAGATAGAAAGATGAAGTCTCAGTATATGCAGTTTGATTTAAACTGATAATCAAAGAACTCACTGATACCCGATTAGTACAGGAATGTTATAGGAACATGTAATAGCATAACAGCTGATATTATAACAACAAAGGTTATTTCTTAGTTTAGTTTTTTCCCCAAAACAAAATTAATTGTATAGATTTAAAATAAAAACTACCTGAAATCTATCTCCACAATCCCATTTTGGAATATTGCGTGCTCAAAACATGCAGTGCCAAGAATGGAAATTGTTTTTTTTTCACAAAGCACACCATCATCAATCTTTTTAATTACAGTTATGTCACAAATCACCTTTATTATATACATTTCCTTCCTCATACAAATGTGCCTTCCTAAATTATTAATAAGATTGCCTCTACCAATATGCCTGCATTTTTAATAGATCAGGTACTGTAGGTGATCATCATTTAAGGAACGCTCCTCTCAGGATCACTGTGAAAAAATGACAAGTTACA